AGAAACAGTAGTCCATACTCATTTAATACAGGTCAATTCAAATAGAATGCTCAAGTTCAGGAATATTGCTAATATTATCTTTTCTAAAAACATATAGAAAAGTTTAAAAGCTTAGCCATTTCACAATCTTCAACAATAACCACATCATCTCCCATTCTAACATTTTGCTTACATTTAACATACTTAAAAAAAAAATCCTTGCTCTTATTCTAACATTATCAGCAGCTGTTTATAACGAGCTTAAATTTGATGATCTTTGGTGTTGCTTGCTCTGATGAGGAAATGCTGCTTTAGATTTATATTTTGTGAGTTCAATAAATAAATGGCAGATGGCTTTTAATTATAATAAACTAGCTGTTGGACAAGTGAACTCAACACCTGTTGTTAACAAAGGAGAAGAAATTGTGCTTCTATCTTTTTTCTTAACATAATAAACATTAAAAGTGCAATAAAAATGCATAAGGGTACCAGTACTGAAAAGAAAGACATACTTTTTCAAGAATTCTATCAATATGAAATTAGATGGGGGCTCAACCCCCCTCATGTCATCCTGTGTCACTGATTGATCATGAAATGTGGAAACGTATAAGGAACAGGTACACACACACATATTGACAGTTATATAGAAGATGAGGGGATCCAACCCTTGCCCCTTCATGACCTTCCTCATGTCACCCTCTATCACTCTGTCAAGTTAGGTACTGATTGATCAATAAATGTGTAAACATATAAGGAATAGATGGCTGAAAGGTGCAAACAAACAGATACAAACTTAGCTTTATATATTAGATGGTATGTTGGCTATCATAATTGAAAAATATAAGTATAATTTGATGGGAATAGCTATAACAATGTTATGGAAGAAACAGATTTTATAATTTTGACTGATTTTCTCTTAAGCCATTCAAGCATCACGCTGTTTCTAGTAGTCGTATCTACAGAAATACTGAATATATGTCTATAGGCCTCATTTAAATTTTACATTCACTCATGGGATTCTTACTTTAAGAAGAACATTGAATTATTAAAAAGAGTTCAGAGGAGGGTTACTGGGATATCAACGGGGATGTAAGGTTTTTATAGATGGAGAATTTAAAATTTAAGATCTGTGAAACAGTTTTCTCTTGAAAATAGCATTAAGGGAATTGATAGTGTTGATACAACATCATTTTTTGTACTTGATGGTGTAAAGGAGACACAAATATAATTTTGGCAGATTTCAAGTCATCTTTAGCTAAGACTGTTTTATTTTTTTAACATGGTGGTTCACCTTTTGAAATGGTTGCCTGCAGATCTTGTTTTTGCAGTACATTTAATGGAAGGCTTGATAAATATTTAAAAGATAAGGGCTTGCTTTGATATTTGTTTAAGAGTTTAGTTTAACGGATGGGACCCTGATTGTCTTTAAACATTACATAAGCTCTTTTGGATTTTTTTTTTAACCAAATCTGTAGATTTCTATAGTTCTGTAAGTCTTCTAACCTTTCTGCCAACTTAAACTCATAACTTTCATCCCCAATTTTCTCCTTTTTGTTTTAGTAAACTAGTTAGGTGTAATTTTTCCTGTTATCCTTTTCCTCTTTTTAGGAACTGCCTACATATATCTCAAACTAAAAACAATATATTTTTTAAAATTTCCCAGATTTGTTCCTCAACATTTTTGTACTCTTTTTCCCAACTCACTGATGACAAATCTTGTCTCATGGCCTCAAAATTGGCTTTCTGAAAATGAGAAACTAAAATTTCATTTGTTTTTATGTCAACATGCAGCAAAACATTATCTAAGAAGGAAAACTGACTTATTGGTTTGTTTGTTTTCCATTATTATTCATAACATTTGAGAGGCAGTAAGGGGCAAAAAAATAATTTGTCACAGCCATCTCATTAATTTCATCAAACACACATCACCTTATGTCAAAACCTGACATCCCAAATACTCATGAAATCCTCATTTGAACTCTCCCAATTCCGTTGTATTTACTACATCTCAAGGCAATCTATTTCAAAGTTAGACCATCCTATTTGAAAAATAAAATTGACTAATTTACAATGACTTCTACCCAGTAAAATATCAAAGTCTATGTCCCTTACCTCCACCACTTTTTCTCAGTGCAGTTAGTTATGTAGTGTCTCACATTTTTGACTTGTATCTAACATTGATTTGTTCCAAATACTTTAATGTACCCAAACTACTGAGGGGTAGCAAAAGTTAAACTAACATGGAAGTAATTCTTATACGTATATATATATAACAAGTCATTTAATACAAATTAAAGTAGACCCTGTGAATTCAAAAATGTTTGGGAAACATCTTAAAAAAAAATTTCAGAAAATATATATAAAAAAAAAAAATTCCCCTGCCCCCCAAAATAAGAGTTAAGGCTATATATATATATATATATATATATATAACTTGAAAACAGCTAAAAATAAGTTCTAACAAATGTCACTGATAAGAAAAACAAAAAAAAACATCTAAACATAACAGACAAGTCCATTTGATCATTCAGCTTTCAAGGTTGTACTTTCACACCATTAGAATAACAAAACTTTCTATACTGAAGCCTAGCTTGTCTTTTTCAAATCACAAACTTGTCCTTATGTCCGATGTTCTCGACAATCTAAATTCTAACACAAACTTCAGTAAGATCACACTTCACATCTCAAGACAAAACAAGTTAAAAACTTGTTAAATCTTAACATATATAGCCCACCTCTGAAAGCTGAATCATTCTGACTTAGTAATATTAACAGTAACACAACATTACTGTCATTAATAATACTTAAAATTACTATGCGTTTATTATTGGAAACGGTTAATAGTAATATTATTAGTAGTAGTACGTAAATTCTCCTCAACGGATTAAGACTTGACTTACCACTCTAAGTATAATACATAGAAATAAACTTGGTAACTACGACTTAAATTATAAATATTGCAAATTAATTTACATTGTTACAACTACAACAGTACAAGTATTAGTATTACTGACTGTATTACTATTATAGTTCCTGAAAGTGTAATTGCTTTACTCAAATTACTGTGTCCAGTAAATTAATATTAATACTCTACCATGAACTATTTTTATTGTAAATTCATAAAAACTATTATTCAACTTGACGCAAAATTGAGTGAAATACAATTACCAATATATATATTACATTAAAGTGAAACTGAGAAACAACACAAGCCTAACCAAATCTTTACAAATAATAACCTGAAAATTCTTGTTTGGCGAAATTATTCAAACGCTCAACCAGGAGATCATTCTCTTGACAACCGCTAAAGTATGTTTATATATAATTTTTTATCAATATTATTTGTGATTTTATTTAAAAATTCGTTCAAAATATGCAATGAAAATGTTCATATTTCAATTGACTTAGCGAAAATAATTCAATTCAGTAAAATAAATATCGAAAATAATAACTTATGCAGAAATATACAAAACATATGTTTTTGGAAATAACATTAAAAAAACAACATAAAATTACTATAGCTTCGATGATGTACTTTGTCAACCCACTACGGTAGATAAATTAAACAAATTATCATACTCATGGTGGTACCAAGGGTTCTTATTTATGTTCATTCACCTCCGCTGTCACCAGTATAGTTCTGTCCTATACATTTAATAGCTAAAATGTCCGCTTTCAATTTTTGATCACTTTACTGTTAACATGTAATATGCCAAGCTGTGGTATTCTCAGGTGCATTGATTTACCTTAATTAAGAGTAAAAAGCAGGTTGATTAGCTTCCGCAGAAAACACGAAGTGACAGAAAAAATGTATCAAATGATAAATCTTAGTATTCCACCCGACTTAATTTGAACCAAACAAAGAGATTAGATGTGTTATGTATCTGCTTGTTTGTTAATTTCCGGTAAATATTGTTTCCGAGGAACTTCAGCGATACAAGTTCTTTCTTGATTAAACCAGTTTATTCTTTCTCGATACACACTTTTAGTACACAGTATTTCACAATCACTACGTTTCTCGTCACTTTGAACTTAACTACTTTTATAATATACGCTATAAATCACAGCGATTCACAATCTCGATAACAAAACACACACTAGCTCGAACCAGAATCGTAAATTACTCAGAACTCTTTTCATTCAATCCTGCAGGCTTTTTCTGCCAGGCTTATATACTGAAAAAAGAGGACGTTTCGAAAAAACTCGAGCTTACCCGATAATTCATGATCATTCGAGAAATTTCACGCACGCTACCAGCGCCAAACGCGCCAGCAGTGTAATGTGACTTTCGCTGTCATAACAGATGTGATGTAAGTCACAATGTAACAATTCTTGTTCAATCTGAAAACAATCCAAAGACATTACTTGAGAGAGAGAGAGCTCAGTGAAGTAGAAATATATATTTATTTTAAGAATTTCTCAACAATTCCTTCATAATCTATTCCATACTGGGAAAATATAGCTTTATATACATGAAACAATAATACTGTTCTTCTTTTAGGCACGTGCACTACACACGTGACTGATGTCATTCCCACTGAAAAAGAATGGAGTTTGTTATTTAAAGATATCGCCTGACTTGCCATTAACATGTTTGTCACATGCATGCATGGTTTAGTGTCGTTCTCTTTGCAAGCTCATTCTGGTTCTCATATTTCATGAGAACAGCATTTTATATGACACTCTGAGTGACAGAAAAACAAGATCTAAAATAGAATACACTTGCCTATTTTTCCATGCTCTGAAGGGAGCTTTCCCAGTGTATAATTCAAGACCTTCTTCCTTATTTAAGAAGAATGTATCAGATTATTGTTGGAATATATTACGGAACGAGTTAGCCTGAAATGAAACTCTTTGAAGAATGATTAAAACGGGTATATCCAGAAAGTAATGAAATTATTGTTACACATGTTATGGATCCTGAAACTCTTTGAAGAATGATTAAAACGGGTACATCCAGAAAGTAATGAAATTATTGTTACACATGTTATGGATACTCTTTCATCTGCTGATACAATGGCAGAGCAAAATTGTAAAACATTAACCATTTCAATGGAACATATGGTTGCTCAACATGTGAACACCTAGGAGAAACTTTTCGCCTAAAACGAGGACATGTTCATATTTATCCTTATGCTTAAGTACAGCACCAGTTTCGTTCAGCACGGCATACGCTAACTCAAGCTCGGAAATCCATAGACATAGGTTAAGTAGTAAAAGGAGTAAAGGGTCCAACACCTCTAATATTTATGCCATCATATGACCTAAGACATGGGCTTTCTGTGGACTACTTGCATTGTGTTTTTTAGGTGTTGTTCATGGTCTCTGCTATACTTGGATTGGCACTTCAAATCATTCAAAGCTATGGTACTTGGAAAGACAAAAGCAAGAAACTGACATGAAACTTCTCCAGATCCATCCTCCAAATACAATGATACGAGTTACACGATCTTTTATGTATCAAAAATAATGGAGGGAATCTGAATGGAGAGCATGGTATTTCTTTTATTGTATTCCAGTGCTTATTGGCCATTTAGAAATTAAATATTTGTAACATTTTCTGCTTCTGGCAGCTTCAGTTAACTAGTTGCTGCAAGAAAAGTATCGCTAATTATGTTAAATTTAGCAGAGAGTCTTTTGAAATTCCTTGTGGACAAATTATCAGAATTGAATGGATAAGAGTTTTGTACATACAATGCACATCAACTTTTGCATTTAGTTGAAACTGTCAGAAGATGGGAACTACTTTGGGCTAATTCCTGCGTTTTCTTGGAAAATAAAAATGGGGAACGTCTTCGTTTAGTAAAAGGCACACAAAGTGTTGACAAGCCGCTGATGAATCTCTATGCGATAACAAACTCACTGAGAATTTTTTAAATGTCTATGAAGCAGGATACATGTGTGCATGATGTTATGGATGAGCTTTAAAGGAAAGAAAAACAGGAAATATTAAGAAAATGCAAGACTGCATTATTACGGACAAAGAAATAGCTGGCAATGACAGAATTGCACAAAATTAAATTCTTTTTTCCAAAGATAATGTGTACTTTGTTTTCTGGTTGTTGTTTTTTTATCAAAAAGAAATTTATACATCAGAAGCATATACAGGAGAAGTAAAGTGAAACAGTATTACAATTCAGTACTTGTAGGATGGGCACCCTAACTATGGATCATTAGTGTGTTATGCTTTATGGAATGATAAAGTTTTAATAATTTTGAAATCATTAATTGTATGTGGGAAATATTTTCAGCACAGATCAACAAAAGTACATTTGGTTCATATAGTTCCTGTAAAAGAACGTGACGAATTAATGATAATCAACAACACAAAATTAAACATGAAATGTATTCGAGTTCTTGGGTATGTTTGTGATTATACTGTAGAATATATATTGAACATTTTGTCTGCATTATGTTTTTAAACTGTTAATTTGTCTCAATTAATATATAATAAAGTTTTGTTTAAAAAACTTTTAGAAATTTCATTCTTATTTATTAGTTTCACCTAATGCAATACTAAAAATGCAAACACTCTGAGAAAATATGATGTTAGAATAACAAAAGCAAATAGGTGATTTTATGGAATCACTCATTATAACCATTACGGGGAAATTTAATTCCTGCAAATTATATTTTCAGTAATCTGATAAAAATTGTATCATTACCACATTTTAAGAACTATGATACTAGAAAGGCCTACGAGATAAGTAAGTAAAGACAACTAGTTTTGTAACAAAACTACAAAATGTAAAGCTATTAAGTCTTAATTCCAAATTGTGATAAAATGGAGTTGTATGTAAATGTAATAAGATATTTAAGTTTAAGAACTATATTATACAACCTGCCTGATCTAACATTGATTTGGATATGTAATTAAAATCGGTTTCCTCATAGATATTGATATTAAGTGAATTACGTTGTATTTGATATGATATTCAGTCCTAGAAACAATAATTGAAGATATATGTTAATATAATTCCCAGATCTGGGTTGAATATTTTCAAGTGCAAAACCAGCACTTAGATCTGGGTGGTACTGTCCAGATTTGGCTTGATTTGGACCACTACTGTTCCAAATCTAGTCTGATATCACCAGATGTAAATCATGATTTACAGATTTGAATGGTGCTGTTCCAGATCTAACTTGATTTAACTCAGATCTGTAATTTCCATAAGAGCAGTACAACTAAAAAGTGTCAAGGTTTTTCATTTCATATTTCATAGTTATACTTTTCTAGTATTTTCTTGTTTTATATTTTATTTTCTCGGAAATTGATTTATACGTTTTGACTAAGGTGATTTTATGAATGCTTGCAATACATAAGTATGTGCATGT